GCGAGTTTCCAAGTATATTCTCCATTTTGAGTTGCTGGGACAAAAACCTGCCTTCTCTCTCCTGCCAAAATTCTCAGGCATTAGGCACCCATCTTTCTGAGTTAAGATCCTCTGAGCATCAAACACTTACTTTACGTCTAAGGCCTACAAGCTTTCCCAAATGGGAAAAATGCTAGTTGACATTAGTGGATGTTGTCCCCCTACTACAACATTACTATAATCAAAACTGGTCAAGARAATGTCTTTAAGCAAAAGGATTCGGCATCAGAAGTGCAGCTGTGGTCACTACTCCTGCCTTGACCTTGTGCACATGTCATCTTCATCATATTCACCCATCAACTGCAACATRTAGGTTCCAGTATAGAGCAGAAATTGTCCAGTTATTTGTGCTGCATGGGATAGTAGCTGGAGCACTTTCCTGGAAGAAAAGGCATGTGTTTAAGGAAAAAAAATCACCACCAAGGTTACATTACCCCTTTCCACCCCCAAAACCCTTACGATGAGTTAAGTTGTTATATTTAAAAACCCCTCTCATTCCTTCTCACTTCTCAGAAGATGACAATTTTTGTACCTTCTTTAGAAAAAAATACTCGATTGACAGAAAACTATTTGACACATTGGCAAAACCAGAAAATACATTTAACAAAGCAGGCTGACATCCTGTTAGACACAGGCCTTCTGCAAAGCCATCACTCAAACTACCACAGTACCACAGAAGACAACTTTGCCTGGGAGCCCAGCAGCTTTAATCCACCTCACGTCTGACCTTTGTGATTCACAGACACAACTCTGTGTGTACCTCTAAGCCACAGATCAAACCTGATTAAATCTGAAGCTGAACAATCCCATTACAGTGGATATCCAACAGCAAAACAGGTGAAGAAGGTGAGTTAGTGCTGGCCGAGCTGCAAGCCTTAAGAATTATCAGTTCACAAATATTCTATTTCTAAAAAATTTGATAAAATCAGCATTCAAATATATAATGCTGTGTAAGAATCACTACAAATCCATAAGATAACATCAGGTAAGCATCAGAGGTCAACAGTATAAACTGCGGATCCTCACAGGGGAATGAAGATAGCAATATTTCAATGGTCATTTATTCAACTCAGTTGTAGCCACATCTTCCTTCCATTCGGCAAGAAACAACAGGGACATTGGTACYAAGGGCTACATTTGAGACTCATCCCCCAGAAGTTAGGAGGGGTCTCACAAGTATGAAGCTGAAGCACTGGGAAATGGTACCCAAAACCAGAAAGAATTCCAAAACTGGAATGGAATCAGTTTCTGAAGATGCAGAAACCAGGCCAGCCTCCCTTCTGCAAAAAAGGGTGAAGATTTTTTGAATTCCTGTCTAAGAAAACATGCAGCTGCGAACCCTCTGCTTCTATTCACTCATCCGTTGAGCTTCAGCAGAGAAGGCAAAGTCTTCTTCCTACAGTTTTGTTTTTAACCCCACTGTCATTAAAGGTTTGAAATCCAATCCTTCAAAATAGTAGAGTCTGCGAAGCCTTTAAAGAACACTGTACCCTTGTTCATGCTTCCCACACGTGCCACTTCAACATGTTCTTCCTCCACTGCAGAGATCAGCCCCAGGAGCTTTACAGTTGTAAAGAAAGCTGCACCTGGTACTGGCTTTGGAGCAGCTGCAGGGTGTCACTCGCACACAAGAGCAGTTGCCACTTAAGCCATGGAGCAAGTTATTTGTTGAACTGGACATTTGATCCTTCAGTCGGACACCACAGGGAAACACCACGAGGGGAAATGCACTAATCAGACCTGGCAGGCCTCCAGCCCCTCCCAYCACCAACAGCTGCAGCATTTTTCARTCCTTTCCCTTCACACTCTGCATGTGGGCTCAGGGAGAGAGAGGACATCAGCGTTAGCAATCTGGARCTCATTAGCAGAGGGACTGCACCAGGATCCGACATGGTCTGTCTCCGATTTCAACAGCAAGCTGAGGCAGGCCGTGTCACTGTTGTGTTCAAGGGCACCCAAGGTTATCTCTCCTGTCACCCCTATTCTTTGCTAGTTGCAGGATGGGCTGTTGTCCCATCCTGACAGTGGCACTTCCCTTACAGCTGAACTCTGTAACACAACAGAGCTTCCAGAAGAACTCCGCAGCTACTTCAGCTGTTTGCCAGCGCCGCTCCTTTCTCACCAGCTGCCCTGTCTTGGCAGGGAGGCAGAATTGTCACTTCAAACTCTCCTTAGCAGCACAAGKTCCAGTGCTGATACTCAGCTCCACAGCAGGCAGCCAGAGATCAGAGTTTGTTTTGGCTCCAGAGACTTGACAAACACAGGAACTGGAGGAGTGCAGCTGTGCAAGGGCAAACCTCTGCTTTGAAGAAACCCGAATGAAGTCAGTGTTACAGGTGGGGGCAGCAAGCAGCTGCATAATCTCTTCAGCCTGGCCAGAGAGGAGCCTTGTCTACAGCCACAACAACTGCAGCCTGAAAGATTAAGGAAGGGACCACCCAAGTAGAGTGGGAGAGGTCAGTCAGACTGAAAGACAGGGAAAGASGAGCTAATTASCATGACAATGCTCATTAGCATACCYGCATCRCGGGAGAAGGGAYTGCTTMAAGGCTTCCAACTAAAGGCTACGTGTCACTGGGGAGAAATGAAAACTCCACTTATGACACACATATCTGTCTGTCAGATCTGGTCCTCGGGTAATATAATGCAGCAACATCACACAATTGTGTCTCAACCAGAATTCTAAAAKTCAGGTAGAGAAACTCAGGGCTGCAGTTTAAACAGCTGTCGAAGTGCAGCACTYTGGGAAGGTGCCTTCTCAAACCAGGGCAGAACACAGCTGGTTTTGACAAGGCACCAACTTTCAACTCATTGCTGAAAACAGTGGACAGGACAGGTATTACTTTGCYCCYGAATAAGACAGCATTTCCCAGCAGYCAGTCCTACCAAAYTCCCAAACCACCACAGATCAGTCCTGCAGGAGACAGTGGTCCTTGACAGGCTCCCTTAGCTAGCCAAGAGACCATGCCAGCTGGTTTGAGAACAGTGATATCACAGAGTCTTACTGCAGATGACAAATCCACATTAAGACAGCAGAGTGTCRCCTCTCTTCCATTTTCCTTTGCCTCCATGTAGCTTTAGTGGTGAATCTGGCAAACAGGAGCTGCAGTGTCTGAGAAARCTTTAAGATCCCTGGCATTGGATCTCAAATTCCTCTCATTTCATCCCCTTGAAGCCTCCTCTTCAAAGAGCTTCTTCCCCAGCCTCCCGCATTCTTCAAACAAACAAGTCAAGGAAATGTGAGGAAACTCTCTTAGCAGAACAAAGAAGCTGTACTTACATCCTTGCAGTAAATACAACCTGATGAGAGTTTTGCTTTGGGGGAAATTTAAAATTCCATCATAAAATGCTACAGGAAGTTTTACAAGTCAGCTATCCACCTCACAAAGATTCAGCATACTGGCCAGTATGTAAGAAATAATGAAAACATTGAATTTATAAATACACCTGCTTCACAGAACCAATAACAAACACAGATTTTTACATTAGCATGTACACCTGATCAGTAAKGGAAACACACTTACCGCAATACGCTTTTTGCTCCCATGCATTTGATGTCATAGGAGATAGAGTAGATCTCGTAGAAGGTTGCCTTGATGTTTAAGCAGCCAATAAAATCCTTAGGGTTCAGTTTGTACAGATCAAATGTGATGTTAGCTACTCCCATTTTCTTCTTTTGTCTCACAGCRACAACTCCATTTTTTGTCTGGTTTAAAAAGAGAGACAGTTTGCACCACAGCCCAGGAAACTGCAGCAAGACAATCGTCAATAGTGCAGCTCTTCAGAAGCAGTTTTGYTTATTCCAGCCAGGGGGTTAGTTCTTGCCCAATTCTAAACTAGAATTAAAAGTATTMGCACACAGAAAATCAAGTCTGTAACTTATGTAATGTGTTTCAAGTCCTAAACAAGCTTCTGAAGTTTTCCAAACAGACACTGAAATTCTAGAGTGACATAGCACCTCCTGAATATTTATTTTCTGCAGTGGAGTTYCTTCAGAGTACACTAAAGCCACAGGTAACACCACATGACAGCATTCCTGCCATGTATTTATCCTGCTACATTCCAGCTGCCCTCTGAGGCAGAGGCCACCAAATAACCAGGRTAACACTAGGTCCTTCTGTTTAGTCAGGAGCACAACACTGATGAGCACACTTGGAGACAGCTACAAAAGTGACATCTGTGAAAAAGTCAGGTACTCAGTTCAAACCCTGGCTCACAACACCTCTCTCTTCYTACTAAAAAGAAACACCCAGGGTTCAATCACGAGATTTTAAGAGAAAAAGCAAAGGAGAAGGAGCACAGAAAGTCATCTTCCACCTTAAATCCACCCTTCTTTATTTAAAGCAGCCCTTTTCTGCTGCAGCGTGTGTGCTTCAAGAAAGGAAAAACAAAAAGAAAATAGCAAAGAGAACCCATATTTACAGAGACATCTAGTGGATACACGGGATCCTCTGCTCAGCACATTCCACCCAAGGTTAGCGACCTGGCAGCTGCCAGGCTGTTTTCTGCATGCTAAATGAAGCAATAAAGTTGTGTAAGGCTGGCCCTTTTTGTAYTTGTCACCCCGGCCCTCAGACAGTGCTGTGATAAGCCAGACAAAGTTAAACACAGCAGTATATCATTAGCCAGCAATTTTATGCCTGTTTTACTTCGATAGCCTCCGAGCTCCAGCACCAGGGTCCCCTATCAACAACAGCTTCAGGCACATACAAGTAGCTGGTGTGCTTGGTAGTATGTCCCCACACCCCTCCCCAATAGCACCCAGAATATTTGGATAAAGCAGGAGAGAGCTGGTGCTGCACTCCAGGTGATTGGCGACGCTGTGACAGTCCCTCTGTCACTCAGCACCTTCTGAASAGGGGCTGCATTCAAACTTGTGCTGCTGCAATGCCAGACAGGAGACAGGAGCAAGRTGGAGTCACAGCCTGGTAGAAGCTTCTCTTCTACCCTTGTAGCTCATGCCCCAGATGCAGAGTTTCATAAGCCAGTGAGGGATTTTGGGGAAAGTTATACAAGCTGCCCACACTGCAACAGGCGACWGAGAAAACAGGGCCACRGGATCGTGCCTGTGTGCAGGCACARAAATGGTCTGCCTGCTCACAGCTCCACGGCCAGCTCTGCACCTGGCAGACAAAATCCATCTATTCTGATGCCAGCTTTCTAGCAACAGCCATCCCATGGAAAAACAATTAAGAGTTTGACTCTGTTATTAATGTACAGATGACTATTTCCCTACAAAATAACAAATAGAGCACTGAATTGATATGATTAGAAGGCTAAAGCAAGCCAGTTTTTAATAGTACTTAAATATCTTGAAATATGTAGACTAACATTATGTTCTGATGCCAAATCATGSCTATTCACAAAATTAAACACAGGCATTTTTTTAATCTGCTTTCGGAAGGCAGAACTTGCTTTATATTACTTAATTTGGGCACTTTTTACAGTCTAATCTAACCTTTAAGGACATTGTATTTTTTAACTTCATGGAGTCAAAGCTCTAATTTTCTTTGTTACAAAAAGGCTCAAGAACAAAGATATTTCTGTGTTTCTCCAAAAGGAGAGTATTTCCCCCATAATTCTTTCCAGTTATGTTTTATTTCAATTCTTGGTGGACCTTTGCCAACAGATCTATGTCCAAACAAGGGACAATAAAAAATAAGAACTTGATTTTTCATCCAGGAAGGCTCAACAGGGAGTTGACACCTTGCCTCTTCAAGGAATTTTTCTTCCTCTTCTCCCCTCTTTCCAACAATTTTAGCAACCACAAWTATTCCTCCATCCACTTGCATTCAAATGAGAGAGAAGCAGTCAATATTTACTGGTGTCCATTTCTGTCCTTCTTGTAGRGCCATGAAGTGTGTATTATCATCCAGGGACTGGAAGAACTCYTCCGTGTCCACAACGGTGCCATCTTCTTCCAAAACCAGAGTAATTATTCCAGCAGTTACAACGAAGGCATCTAAAGTCTGAAAAAACCCCATGATATTTTGCATTCTAAAGAGAGCCCATCATTTCATATTGAGACTTGCTTATCTGAAATATTCTCCTGAACTACCCCAGTAATGACTTTTAGAAGAATGAGAGTCTGTGGGTTGTCTTTCTGGGATATTTCACTGTGTCAGTCAGAATGGGACTATTTACTGTACCTTGCTGATGAGTTCTTGCAGGCTGCTGGCAACAATTCCTTTCCTGCTGCTTCGGGAGGCGTTGGACACACGGAAAGGGCGCCCTGCAGGCATCAGAGCAGGGAACAGGGTCTGCCTTGTGACTGCTCCTACAGATGCTCCCATGGATATGAAAGATCTAAGACAAATAAAAATTCAACAGTTACAAAAACAGTCATGTCAAGTACTGCAAGAAGGAGGAGCACTCATGACAATCACATTATACAAGTAATTCACAGATCATATTAAGACTCGTGGAGCTTGCTTTCTAGATACTAAATACTACACAGCCCTACAGATAYGTTATCTATGAATTTTCCCTTGCCTGTGACATTTGGAAAGACTTTRAAAATYAACACAATTTCAAGCAGATGTGGRACACCTCTAACTCAGCTGACATCAAGGTCACAGGTACATTGAAGCTGATGGGTTATAACACTGAATTTGAAAGGCAGCAGCTCTTACTGTATTCAGTTACTCAGATAATTYGCTTTATTTGCAAGATAAACACTGAGGGAGAAAGTAATTTTGTGTTACGGTATGAGTTTGCTTTAGGAAGACTAAAAACATTATGCCTATTTGAAATAGCACATATTTCTGCCCAGCAGCAGAATGCAAGCAGAGCTTTGTGACATAATTATACCTGACTTTCAAACAGTCAAGGCATTTGTAAATTACATCTACAGACTATAGAACTCCATCTGGTTTTGAAAAACAAAAAATAAGACTTGTATCAGAAGGAGTTAAATGAAATTAAGTGAAAGATATGATCCAAGTACATAAATGCATARTGTTGGAGCAGGCTGCTAGCAAGGCTGGAAGATTTTGATCACTTTTAGAAAAAAGATTTTAGATTTTTCCGGGCAATTGCATGTTTATCTTTGGTAAAACAAGAACATAACAGCAGTGACAGCCTGCTCCCCCATCAAGGTACAGAACTGCTCTCATCTACACCTAGGGACACCTCTTTTTCTGCCAAATGATAATGGTAAAGTCAACAGTCAGCTTGCCAAAAATGATACTCTGCTCATCACCTGGGAAGGATTGATTKCTAAATCCTTTAAAGGAAGGCAATATTTCATCTCCCATATTCCTGGACTTTACCCTCTCTCTGTACACCTTTGGCTCCTTAATACTGAATTGCTCAGGGGTGGAAAGGGATGCATCCCCATTCTGTTCTCCCACATAGGTATACAAAGTCAACTTTGTGTAGGAAAATCTTCTCAGACACTTTAACTGAGAGTAGAGTGAACTGGCAGCCTTTACCTGCACCAGAGAGTGACTACAGGACATCCCAGAASAACAATGAAATGGTACAAGGTTACTCAGTTAATGATGTCCCAGTCACACCTTTTATGCAAATCCACACCTACAGTGGAGAATAAATATCTTTTCCACACCTCTTATCTGTTTTTAGGCATATTTTTGGAATGCACAGAATGTGATTTTTGTGCCTGAACAGATTCAGAATTCAGCAAATAATTCATTTACTGCTCTCATTCTGGACCACTCTCCTGGGCTATTGCCTCTCCTCCAAACACCAAGTTTACCTTCCTCAAAAACTCTTTGGCATTATCAAAGCTTAATTTTTTTTTAAAGGAAGAGCATGTTCAGCAGTTTTGTTCTAGCTCATTCTATACCTTGATAGCTCTGTCTATACATTAGGTCCCTGGCTTTCAACATTTARCATGTAGACACACATGGCTGATGGAAACCTCTCTCCTTCCTGTATCAAAGCTGGTGAGGATGAGCAGTCGCTCTGGCTTCAGGAAAGCATTGTTTCAAATTACAGAGCTAATAAGMACTGTTCCTCCTGGAGAAGGGTCAGTGCCAGGGAGGAGGACAAGGTGACAGTGGCACTGACAAAGGCACTGAAGCTTCACAGAAGGGAAGCCTGCTGGGACAGGGTGTATTTGCCAATCTCTCAGCTGACTAAGTCAATAGGGCCCTGATCACCCCACTGGTCCTGGGCAGCTCACATTCTGAATCACTGAGTCTCTTCCTCAGATAGGCAGCCTGCTCATCTGCCCTGGGGCTGGTGACACCACTTCACAGGGCACCCTCAAATTAGAATGTGCAGCACTCTGGTTTCAAGGGCTTTCACAGCTGATTACATCTCATGCCCTCCCACAAATGGGAAAACTTGCATATAGAATAGTAACCTGAATGACACACATGTGAGTACTGCCAACTTTTTTTTTTTTTTGGTGAGGACAGTCAATATCAGTCCCATTGAAAACTTTTCTTTCCCATTACTTAAGCCAAATTGTCATTCACAGAAGATAAAGCACAAGGGAAACAGCCAAAACATAGATGCTGACAAAAAATGAAAAGCGTTAGGGGCACAGCTCATGAACTAACAGGGTTCACCCCAGCCAACTCTACAAGCCATAGTTAGAAGCTCTGAGCGGAATTTTCTCAAGGAGTCAGGATCAATCACTTCACACAGCTTCCTAGTTCTAGCTAAAGTCACAGCAATAAAATGAACAGATTAATAAACCAGGCCWTACATTATCTCCACTGAGCTGCCAYGGAACAGGAACMGTCTAAAGAAGTTATTTAACRGTGATGTCATTTCACCTACATTTTGATAAAACCTGTCAATATAATCTTTAAGCCAAGCCTGCTTATGAAGCAGTGAGTCTGGACTCCAGGGCAGGCTGAGGTTTCAGCTAATGAGGAGACAAAATCAGTATGATCAAAATTAGCCAGATAAACAGTGTGAGCCCTTCAATTTCTGAGTCTATTGCTGAGAGCTTGTTTTTATTTTGTTCTACTCTCCTTCCTAGATCACAGCCTCCAATAGACCAGCCTGCATTCAAGGCTCTTAAAAAGATCCATTATTGTTGCAGCTGTCCTCAAATCACAGACAAACCAACTTCTGATACAGGGAAATCCTCTGCTGGAATTAGAGGAGTTAGCAAAAATAGGTTCTTAGTGAAAGCTGACCAAGCTAAGTCAGGAAACAAGTGGTGGAAAGGAACCAAGGTGCAGTCAGTTTTATTAGAAAGCTGAGTGACGTTTTAAACACAGACAACTCCACTATTGTTTAATTAATCTTCAAAGCCAAAAGAATCAAGTCCTAACTCTTCTTTAAAAGAAGAAGGAATCTTATGTCTGTGGGAAATACAAAAATGCATTTATAACTGAAAGAACAAATATCTTCAAACTCTAGCATCTTATGCAGTTGGTTTCAGATAACTACAGCCKGCTAGAGAGGGCTTCACATATGCTGCCACAAGCATTCAGTCTAGTGTCAAAGCTGATGGGAGACATGAATTAATTGTTTTTAGGAGAACACGGGGACTGAAAGCCTGCCTTGAGCCCAGTACACATATTTCAATCTTTATCTTTGTTTGCAACATGCCCCATATGTTTGTCTAAGAATGTGGTGCAATGGTCTTCGGTCTCACTCAGAAAAACCAACGTTGCACAACACWCTCCAGGATATGGCATGGATTGATTTTTAGGTTAGGGTTCGCTGGTAAACGACAGCCGCAGTAACAAAAGAGTTTTGCAGCGAGGCAAAACAAAAGAAAGGGGAAAAAAAGGGAAAAAAGTCGGAAATCAGTCCGGAGACTTAGGGTCCAACCAGATCGCAGCGCGGTTCTCCTGCTAAAGCACGAACTGGGGAGGCACCACAAAAACAGCCGGCAGCGGATGGGTTTCCGAGCAGCGTAGAGAGCGGTACCCCCATGGATGCGGACTCCAGCGGAGCTGGGTAGGGACGATGTTGTCACCGAGCCCCAGCGGCTCCCGGCTACTCCGGGACTCCGCTCCCGCCGCGCCAGCCCT